TGCCGCAGCCATTTGATTGCATCCTTTGCCTGTTCACTGGATTCCTCGCAGTTTAAGTAGCCATGAGCCAACAGTGGCTTGCCTGCACAACCAAGTCACAGCTGAGCTTCTTGACATCGTCCTGGTCCACGTCGAGGGCAGGGGCCTGGGGTGCTGCGCCTGGCCCTGTTCCCAGGCAGCCGGACCACACGCCGAAGGTGAATGCTTTCCGCTATTGGCTCAGGGCGCTGCCATGCGATCTTAAGGGCAAAGGAAACTTCCTGGACACTAAGCCCGCACAGCCCAAGGCAGCTACTGCATGCAAGTTGTCGAGCAGTTGTGCGGAGAGTTCGAGCGTGAAGTCCTCCAAATGACACAGGACCTTGGTACCTCCGTATTTCTGCCATCAACATACGACAAGAGCGATACTTGTCATGATGTTGGTGATGATGGCTATCGCCAGCAACATGACAGTTTGAACACAGCCAATTCAGCACTTGCCCGACTCGCAGACTTGTCTATGCTTGGAGGGTTGTAGCGCCCAAATCGACTTATGCATTTGTTTGCTGCAACTAGGCCGAACAGACTCGACGACAGTACTGATCAGTCAACCCCAGCGAACCATGAGACCCGTCTGTCGAGTCCGAGTGTGAGAGCACAATAGCTCTGAGAGGACATTGTCCGCTATCGCGGAGAGCTGGCACGCTGCGCTGATTTGTTGGCGTTTCAGCTTGGCAAGGACCTGCCCACTTCTGCAGAAGGGGTGTAGGGGTTAATGTAGTGCAGTCGTATAGCTTGGGAGAAAGCTGCACCGGCCTGGAGGAGAAGCAGTACCATTCCATGTTGGAGACCGGCAAGGGATTGGACGGTCAGTGTGTGTTTTGTACACTCGACAGACGCGGATCTTGTTTACAGTTTCTCCATCCAAGGAAAACATCGCCGGAAACACATCGACCCTTTGTGGTAAGGCTGCCGAGGCCACGGTGGTGTTGGTAGTCACGCACGCTTGACCACCTTGACAAAGACACCGCACTGGATCCCAAGCAACTGACAAGACCTGCGACCTTGACGAAGTTCATGGCATCTAAAAACACGGGGGACTTTGCGCGTATACAAACCACACGTTCGCGGGGAGGTGGGCCAAAAGCACAGCGCCAATGATGGGGTGAAGATTCAGATGCATCAGTTGCATCCAGGATGCATTGGCGATCGTTGATGTGCCAACCTGCGACGGTTGGATTGCGTGTGGAGCTTCGAAACTCCATGAACCTTAAAGAGCTTTCAGGTTGGAGCAGATGTTCGAAGGCGGCAAAGGCGCCATTGCCGAAGGCTTTGGAAATCTCGATGAGCATCGTGCCTAAGCTGCAGCGCATGCCACGGTCGGTGGTCATAGGTGCAGATTGCGAGGTCAAATGGCGGAGACCCACTTGCAGACTTCGGCGGAGTTGCAGAATCAGTCCACTGCGATCCAGAAGGAGCTCGACAACATTCTACAGGCTCTGCAAGTTCCACCGGCCACATGTCGGCAACCTCATCAGCCAGGCACCTTGTTTGGTGGCTGGTGTGATGCCACATGCAAACTGAGGTTTCTTATAGCAACGCTCCAATTATCATGGGGCCATCCATGATGCAACCGCAAGCAGCCCGAGCTCCTCCCGGGCAAGGATTCGGAGCCAAGCCGGCAATTCCGGGAATGGTGTCGGGCACAGGGGGTTTCTCACCAGGGCCTCGTTCCATCCCTGGCTCCCCAGTGCCGCTTGGCGACACGAACTCAACCGGTTCAGGTTTGAAAGTTGAGGGCCTGTGGAAAGGGGTCTGTGTTGCTTCAGTGTCCTAGATGGTTCTCGGGTTGAAGGTATGAAGAGGTGGTCTCTGCGAGTTTTTCGAGCAGGGTATGGAAGTGCAGCCATGAGAACTGGACCTCCACATGCTCAGACCGTCAGGCGATTGTAAAGGATGCAAAAAAAGTGTATGAAGTATTTGGGGTGAAGGCCTTCGTGGTTGCTGCACGTCCAGTCTGTTTGAGGTTCACGCCCTCAAGCGGATTTGTGGGTGGTGCCGGCGGATTTCCTCAGACTCCACCAGCACCGGCCGGCCTGAAACATGGGCGTATGGGCCAGATGGCTTAGATGGGAGTCTCCGGGAAAGACTGGAAGACCACAAACAGTCATCCGTTATGAGGACGAAGTACCAGTGTTGCCCGAAAGATGGGTGTCATTCAAGGTCGTCAGGACAGTCGCCGTATGGTAGCTCTTGGGATTCCTCATTTCCGGAGGCCCAGTACAGGTGCATTAGATGATCCATAGCACGGCACAAGAGGAATTCCAAAAATCCAGAGTCTCACATGAACTGCTGTTCCCCAGCGGGCAAACCGTGTCTGCTGTCTTCCTGCAAGCCAAAGACGTTCAGCTGGACGGTTGAGTTGGAGGCACTGACCGCAGTCTTGCATAAGGGTCATCGTCAGATGAAGTAGAGTGATAGAGTTATGTTGGAGATATGCAAGACCTAATGCGGGCAAAGTCATTCAACAATTTGAGCCCCTTCAAACTGCCTTGACGGTACAGGTACCTGCATTTTTCAGATCCTTGGGAGCTTTGACTTGCCTTGGCCAGCTTCCAGCTCTGGGAGACTTGACTTCTCAGACCAATGCTTGTAGGTTTCATCTGTTGGGGACGGTGCCGTCTGTAATCGCAGGCAGCCGAGTCTTGCAACGTAGGATCTCGCAAGATCACCTTCTTGCTCCGGATGGAAAGCCCGAGTGCGAAATCCTTGGCCGCTCTACCTACTGTAGTTTGCTTGAGCTTGAAACCCAAAGTTTTTCCCGCAAAAGGCTTTCCGAGCGTAGTCGAAGCGTGGAGGAAAAGTGTCCGAAACCGCGCAAAAGTTCGAATGCGAGTTGTACGGCTTCGCACTGCCAACACATTCCAACTTGTGAAAGCAGCCCTATCCCCAAGCTTGTGCGTCGGGTCCCAAGCCCAAGCCACCGAACGTGCGCTCTGTCATGGTCGAAAAGAAGAACCCTGCTGCCGCTGAGGTTTAAACAAGCTGATCACATCGAAGGGGAGCTGTCAGGAGCCGAACTCGAGAAAGTCTAAGTGCCCGAGCTGCTTGCGGATCACATGTGGGGCCCTTGCAGTAGTCCACTCCCTCTGGACTTTCAGAGCACCCAAAGCCGGAAACTTCAAGCACAACCACAACAACCGCAAACCGCACAAGACTAGGAAGAACAGCCATCAGCCTTGAGGAGCTCATGGCCTTGGTGGAGCTGCAGGGCCATGAGTTTGATAGCGTCCTGCCCTGAGGATCCCAGCATTGGAGGTGTTTCGGGATTTACGAACATGTGGAAGCCTGCAACACAAACCTGTTAATGCAAGCTTGGGAGCAACCATTTTTCGAGGACACCCTACTTCAGGAGCCTTCCCGAAACCATCAGGCTGTGCCGTTTGTTTTATATCCCTTAGCATTCAGCCATGTCGAGCCTAGGCTAGGGCATGGGTTCCTTCTGCGAAATTCCCCTTAGAGACTTTCGAAGGTGAACTGCGCCACGGCGCTGCAGCGCTCCGCCAAGCTCGATGGCACAGCGCGGGAGCTAAAGAGGTGGCCTCAGTGGGGATGGAGAAAGCCGGCTCAGGGTACTCTTCATGGCTTTTGGCTCTTAGGGCCTCAGTCTTAGGGTACGGGGGTTTTCCGGCTTACAGGGTTTGGGGATCGGGGGCCTCATTGGGGCTGTTGCAATTTGGAGTCCTTGACTGCTTAAGCGCCGATGCCTGGGAAGTCTAGGGATCATTTTACGAGACCCCGATTGGGGAAAGGTTGTTGAGGTAAATTCTTCCTTGCAAAAAGAATCCTGGCAATACTTCGCAAATGGTCCTGCCAGCCAGCATCCGCACCGCGAGTCCAAGGCCAATTCTCGATTTGTGCGGGCCTCACTTTGTGCAGCGAAGGTGTGTAGTATTGGGCAAGCATGGCGTGGCCCGGAAGATTAGGTTTCGAGAACAGCCCAAACCCTAAACCCGAAACCCGAAGCTCCTAAGCCCTAAAGCCTAAACGCTGAGCCTGGACGGGTTCTGGCCTTGATTTTCAAACTGTACGGCTACTGTGTTTCCGTGGCTGTAGGGGGGAAGCAGATTCGAGGGTCTGCGTGCTTGGAGTTTGGGCTGCCCGGAAGCTGTTTGACCCGGGCCTTTCCTTCCTTAGGGGTTCTGCGAGTCTTCGTGTGTTCCCGGAGTTTGATCCCAGAAGACCTAAAACCCCAAATGCTGCTGCTGTTAGATTCAGATGCTACGAGGTAGATAGCCCTGACAACACTCCCAGAACGAGCAATTCTGCAGAGAGGGCCAGTCAGAAGCGGCTTGGAGCAAGTGAGCGTGTGAGGAAGTACCTGGTTCTAGCTGTTTAGCGGGCCACGGGAAGCTGAGATTTCAGCTGGGAAATCCCAGAGAGCGTCGAGATTCATTGAAACTTCGAGTCTCTTGGAAGCTTCTCCTAGGATGTCTGCGTATAGGGAAAAGAGTCGTTCACTGCATGACGAACAGTGCCCACAACATCGTATGACGACAGTCGCCAGTGTTTGAGACGGTTCAAGCCGGAGCCCAAAAGCTGGGAAAATCAAGGCTCTTCACCCGATCTTTTTCCTGCTAAGACCAGACAGCTGGGCCCAGGGTCCGTCTTCAGCTTCCGCAGCTTAAGCCGCACAACCTGGCAACCGTGCGATGCTCGGATCCTCACGTTAACTCGCACCCTAAAGCTCTTGTGAGTATTGTTCCTGCTATGATGCCCTTCCTGCTGTTTGCTAGCTGAAGCAGCACGAGGCCTCCTGGGCTTCTGCTCGGCTGCAGCTGGCCGATAGGGAGCTGTGCGAGCCTCGGCGTCTCCGGCTGTGTTCGGGTTCTCGGGGAGGGGCAAAAATATCGTGTGCCCACCAGCCCTGGCTCGAAGAGGGGCCGGAAAGTGAGGGGCCTGAGAGCTTTGGGGCCATGCGGCTGGCACTCCTGGCCCTGGCCCTGTGGCCTGAGGCCGGCATGGCCGCGATCCTTCTGACGGGCTATAACCCTTGGGGCAACTTGTCTCAGAATCCCTCCGGAGAGGTCGCCACGGCCCTGAATGGCAGTATCGTGGAGCAGCTTGTGGTGCACAGTCTGCGTGTGGACGTGACCGAACTGGGTGTCTTGGAGGCACAGGATGTGGTGGAGAGAGGCGGCTGGGATGCCGTCGTCCACCTGGGCTTTGAGGACGAGGCCAAGGGCCTGAAGCTCGAGACCATGGCGGCGAACGTGAGAGCTTTGCACAAAGGGAAGGTGGCCCCGGAAGGGCCGCAACTGTTGCCAACGACGAGTGACCTTGGGGCGGTAGCGCTGAATACGCAAAACCCGCATGAGCTCTGGAGTAGGGACGCCGGGAATTTCTTTTGCAACGAGATTTACTACCGTACCCTCTACTCCATTCGGGAGCATCGACGTCTACGGTGCCCTGGTGCACTGATCCCCTCCATCTTCATCCATGTGCCTCCCTTGTATAGGATGCCACTGAAGGAGTCTTCTTCTTTCGTGAGGTCTCTGCTCAGTGACATCATTAAAGCGTCCGGCTGCCCTGGCATCCGCCCCCAGCCCGCCAGAGCTGTGGACGGACTGAGGCGTTGGTTGCACATCTATGGCTAGGCATCTGAGCCAACGAGACAACGTGCCTTCTGTTCGAAGATCAGGTCTTGTGGTTGTATATGTGACGTCGGTATATAGGTTCCCGCACCAATCAGTATCTATCTCGATATCTATATCGCCATATCTATATCTTTATCCACATCATCTCTACTAGTATATTGAATCTATATCTAGTATACTTATTTCTGAATCTACATTTATATCTACATGTCTATGTCCATGTCCATTTCTCTATTTCCATTTCCATCTATGTCTCAATCTCTATCCTTATCCCTATCTCTGTCTCTGTCTCTATCCCTCTGTCTAACTATTCACCTATCTATTTGTTTGTCTATCTATCTATTTATTTTTCCATCTATCCGTCTACCTACCTACCTACCTACCGACCGACCGACCCACCGACCGACATACCTACCTACCTACCTACCTACCTACCTACCTACCTACCTACCTACCTACCTACCTACCTACTTACCTACTTACCTACTTATCTACTGACCTACTTACCTACTTACCTACTTACCTACTTACCTGTCTATGTATCTGTCTATCCATCTATCTATCTATCTATCTATCTATCTATCTATTTATCTATCTATCTATCTATCTATCTATCTGTCGATCTATCTATCTATCTATCTATCTATCTATCCATCTTTCTATCTATCTAACTGTCCATCAATTTATCTGTTTGTCTATCTGCGTGTCTATCTGTTTTTTCTATCTATCTATCTGTCTATCTTTTTTAGTTTATTTGGTTCATCTATCTATTCTTTCTATTCTATTCTATTCTATTCTATTCTATTCTATTCTAGTCTAATCTAATCTAACCTAATCCCTACATATATATATATATATACCTATCTAAGAATCTTTCTTTTTGTTTTTATCTATCTATCTAGCTATTTATTTATTTATTTATGTATCTATCTACCTACCTATCTATCTATCTATCTATCTATCTATCCACTTATCTATCTATCTATATTGTCCAATCTACCTGTCTATATTGTTTATCTATCTATCTATCTATCCATCTATCCATCTACCTATCTATCTATCTATCTATCTATCCATCTACCTGTCTATCTATCTATCTATCCATCTACCTGTCTGTCTATCTATCTATCTATCTATCTATTTATCTATCTGTAGTAACATACATACATCCACACATAGACATACATGACATACATATGCCTACATGTACAGTGCATACATGCGCACATAGACAGTGAGAGCAATGTATACACACCAATAGATAAGTTCGAGAACGCAGGTGACTGCATGCGTGTTTATATGTGCTTACACACTTTTACACACTTTTACACACTTTTACACACAAACACACACACACACACACACGCACACACGCACACACGCACACACACACACACACACACACACATATATCTATATATTTTTATATGCAGATATATAAATACATGATTTATATATATATATATATATAGATATAGATATAGAGATATATCTATGTGTATAGTGTGTGCATTTGTTTTCTTAACAAGAAGTTTATAGTGGAAAGGCTGATGTGGCAACTGCGCCCTCCTAGCTTCGGAGTCCCGCCTCGACCGGATGATGGGCGAGCTCCGAAACAGAGAACAGGGTATCTTCAGGAGCTGGGGGGGGTTCGGGGATGTTCGGGGTGTAGAGTCCAGGCCATGTCTGAGGTCAGGATTTCAGGTTTTGGAGTGTCGGGTTTATGATATAGGTGTAGGGTCTGGAGTTTGGGCGGCTTAATTTAGGGTATAGGGCCGAGCAGTGCTGGATTGATACATCGTTGATAGCCTTTGCTTCAGTCCTCGCACTTTCTACACATCTTGGCACCTTAGCATTGAAACTCCAGGACTGTATCCTGAAGCCCGTCAGAGAAGTGTGTCTATCTTCGCCCAGGCATCAAGATTACTTGTGTGATCTAGGCTTGGATGCAGCTCGAGAATCCCAGTGGCTTCAAGTTGGGCTCCAACCCAAGCCCGAAAGTGCATTCAACACCACTGCCTGGTGGTCCTAAACCCAGTTAGGATTTCAACGACTGAGGTTGCAAGCGCTGGGTGAGACCGTGCAGAATCAGCCGCTTCCTTGGCCAAGGGAAGGGTCTCGGGTTCGTCTGCGCTCCGGGGGTGCCAGGCCTACCCTCAGCCCTGTAATCTCTTGATTTAGTCCTTAAGCCGCTGGCTTTTTGGACTACGACATAGACCTTACTGTAACCCTAAACCCGTCAAACTACAGTGAGCGAAGTCTTAAAAAGGGACCCAAGCTTTGCCGTTCAGAGCTTTTAGGAGGAAGCTAGCATGGGCGCTGCTCATCTTTGACATCGGATCCCAACGAAGCGTTCGACTCCAGACTACAAGCCAAAGACATCATTGTATCATCGAGAAAATAATGCCCTTCAAGGGCAGCATGCATTCAGCCGTTGCCTAAACGGTAAACACGGAGCCCCGAAGTCTGCGACACGACGGCGCCCTGAACTAGCTGTTACACTTGAAACGCTGAACTGCCTGGGACAGGCTTGCCGAATGCGGCACGCGACCCCTGGCGCGCATCGTATGGGGGCGGGGTGCCTAGCTCCCGTGTCATTCTTGCAAAAAGATGCGGTATCCTGGAGTCCTACGTGAAGGCTGGTGGTGGCGTGCGCTCAGGTTCGCAAAGATGCTTGCGCAGCGACCCCAGCATGTCTTCCGGCCCCGAGCTCCGCTTGCTGATGTACGCTGCTCTTGTCGGGGCTTGCCGTGGTGGCCGAGTGATCTCATGTCACAAATCGACGGCCGATCATGTTTCATTGAGATGCGACTTTTTTTTGCGAAGCGCGAGCTGGAAAGCCGCGAGCCAGCGAGTAGGCATGCCACTGTTGTGCAGCAGCGCGAACCGGCGAGTTTTTCGGAAGATTCTGGTTCACAGACGTAGGGTTTGATTGCCACTGAGAGAAGTCCCGCAAGATGCCTTTGCTCTTTTCGAGCATGCTAGCACCTGATAACTCGTCACTCTCAAGTGAAATGCGAAGGTTCGGAAGGTAGTGTTGTACCAAGTTGTGCCTGAAGCTTGNNAGCTTGGAGCCGCGAAGTGGCCGGTCTCGCGATGCTGTCATGAGTACTGTGTTGTGGGTCGAGCTAGGCAGTAGTACGGGCAGCAGTCGAGTCCGTTGTGAAAAAAAGGGGACACTGAGAGCCATGAAGCGGGCGAAGCGCGATGGCAAGAAAGAGGAGAAGGAGAAGAAGGCCACCAGATTGAAGCTGAGCTTGTACTTATACCGCTTTCTATCCATACACCTAAGCCTGAAGTAAGAGACGGTGACGAGGGAGCCAACAAGCACACCAAATCCCATATATGTAAGTTTGGAATGAGGCTTTGTCTTCGCCCTTGGACTGGGTGGCAGAATCTGTCTGTGTTGTTCTGCTTCGACTTGTACGGGCGATTATAGTGCAAAGTACTCTGATTGCAGTTGTTTATGGCTACTGGGTTTCGGCGGTGTTGGTTTAGGTAGTTGGACTTGCTCGTGACAGGCCTCCAGCAAGGCCGAGCAACAGATCAGACGGGCACTTAGATGAGTCATTTCGCAACAGCATGTCTTTTCCTGAGGTCATCAGGATTCAGATTTCGAGGAAAGTCTTGGTCCGGTGAGGGGGTGGCTCCTAAGAGGGGAGCCCTGAGTTTGTATTGCAACAGCCAGTCCACCAACGTAGCTGGAGACGATTACCCGAAACCTTTGATCCCAAACCCTAGAAACACAATCCTGGACCGTTTTTTTGTCCTTCCCTGGATTCCCGGACGGACGCAGGACAATTGGACCCCCAATTGGACGACAACCTTGAGGGCTTAGTGCTCCAGCCCAAAACTGTACCACTGAAGGTGACTTGCGCGCTTTTGTGACAGGCGTCGTATTGAAATCACGCGATGCGCAGTGTGCCTGTGCCCTTGAGCTGAAATGCGGAACACTGAAGCCCCCCGAGCCCGCGACATCCGTCACCCCAACCCTGAACCAAGAAACAGCAACCCGTCTGCGGTCCTCCCATCCTAAACCCCATGCCACTAATCCGAAACCTCAGAAACCCCAAACCCTTACCCTGCAGTGTGGGCTCGTGCTTGCTAAGTAGGAGGCAAAAAAACCCTAAACCAGGCGCAATCCGCCCAATCCCCAGGCCCTGCTCTGATGCCCTTGGGGCTGCTGCTGGTCTGCACGTGCGTGAGTCTCTGTGGGCTGGCGGTTGGAAGCAGTCCCAGCTTCTACTCAGAGGCACGCCTTGTTGGTTTCAGGCTTTTGCGGTTGAGTTCTAGAGAGTTTTGAGGAGTTATCTGTGTCAGAGGGGTTGCGATGTTTCTAGTCTAAAATTCTCCGGCCTTTGGATTCCGGGTCCTGCGATTTTTCTGGATGTGCTGTGACATGGAATGTTCAGGCGCTCTGTTGCAGCTTGCCTGTAGGACGGCCGAGAGACAAGACTAGACACATAAAGCTACGGTAGTTCTCGGGTCCCTCTAAGCACAGGAACCAGGCCTCAGAAGCACGTGTCACTCGATTCCGTGCTGTGCTTGCGCGCGTCCTTTTCGTCATAAAGCGTTGCAGCCTACTGGCCGCCACCATTACAAGCGCTACAACGGTCCGGGGCTGGTTAGATTGCAAGGAAGAGCTGTGTTGTGCGAACCTGACAGGTAGAAGGCAAGACGAGTGTCTTGGCCAAGGTGCGGGGGTGGTTCAGTACCATGGTTCCTCGTTTCACTGGAGTCGGACCTGAATTGCAGGGACATTGCTTGGGATGGCGCTTTGAACCCTGCGCCTTTTGAGCCCTGCCGCTTGGACACCGTAGTGGGCTGCTAAAGGCTTCAAGTCGCAAGAATTCAGGCGAAGACGTTGCTCTTCACCCTCCCTTCGCAAAGAATGAGATAACGGACGCCTCGAAACCTCAGGCTCCATGTCCACTCAACACCGAAGTCTAAGTGAGGAACTCCAGTGCATGGTAAGCCAGTCTTTGCCACTCCTATGATGAGACTGAGGACTGTTGCCCTACTGTGCCCGTGATAGTTCCTGATAGGATGACTGTGTTGACGACCATGGCAGTGATGCTGGCAAGATGGCCACGGCATTGGCGGTTTTGGTGAAGGCCATGTCTTCTTGTAGAGTTGGCTCTTGCGTCTGCTAAGGTATTTTCGTCCGTCTACCGTTCTTCTTTGTCACCCAGGCAGGTTGGCCGCAGGGTTGGGTATGCCAGAGTTGGTGCCGAAGAGCTTCTTGATATAGGGCTCCTCCACTTCGCGTATATACCTCTATCCTGTCGACGCGGATTATCGCCGGTTCTTCATTTTTTGCGTGTTGGCGCTTATCTTGCTTGCCTGCGTTGCTGCCATTTTTTCCGCATGCTGTTCGCCACTGTCCTGTTTGTTTGTTGGTTGCCGTCAGCTCCTCGCTTTCCCATCTTTGCCCGAGTCCTGTTTGTGCAGTTCCTGGGCCGCTGCCAGTTCTTCGTTTAAGGTTTAGGGTTTAGGGTTTATGGCTTCATGGCTTTATGGCTTCGGGCGAGAGAAGCCTGCTGCAAAAAATGGCTTTATGGCTTAAGACGGGGTAAGGGTTGCGTGGGCGCTGGCCGGCACCTCAGTCCGTGCTGAAAAATGGGTTTATGGCTTTAGGTTGTTCAAGTGGGTTGGTCTCTGTTCCTCATTGTCACAGGTTTGCTCTGTCCCGCTTGCGTGGGTTGCTGCCAGGTCTTTGTTTTCCCACGTTCGCCCCTACTTCGCTTTCTGGTTACTGTCAGCTGTTCATGTTGGCGGTTTTGCACCGTGTACTGTTCAAGTAGGTCGGCAGCAGTGGTTTGCTTTCGCATGTTTGCCCTACACGTGTCCCCTTTGTGTGGGTTGCTGGCAGATGTTCATTTTTGCGATTTTCTTTGTGTTCCCGCGTTTGCCCCTATCCCCTTTGGATTGCGTTGACCGCTGCCTGTTCTTCATTTTCGATTCTTTGTCTTTCTCTCAGTGGAGGGTGCTGCCACTCAATCGTTTTCGCCATCCTGCTTGAGTGGGTTGCTGCCTGCTTTTGATGTTTGGTAAGCTCAACTCCACTACCCGGACGTTACAGGCCCTATGCCCGATGGCTCAGCCCTCACCTCGAACCTCAGCCCTTCGTTGAATGTTCGGTTTGCGAACACGTAACTGTGCTTAACTTTGACAACCATACCGCATCTTGGACCACGCTTGGCCACACAGGCACTCTTCAATGAGCTTTGCCTTGGACTGGGCCCGGTGCCCAAGGTTTTGATTCCTCTATGTTCTGACGAGCTGTAAGTCGCACTTCCCAGCATGTGTCCCAGGTGTCCCAGCTCCTGGTTCCCCTGAGCCTCCTGAGTCTTGAAGCAGAGCTCCTCTTGCCGTACCCCATTCCCTCCCTGCAGGCAGGAGTATGGCCTAAGGCCTAATAAACCCTAAACCCTAAACCCTAAACTAAGGACCCTCTGTGCATTTATACCTTGCAGAGTTGACCGGGTCCAGTGGTGAGACGATGCGGGAGCCCAGTAGACTCAACCCTACACCCTGGATGCCCAACGGGGAGGCTACCACAGTGGTGAAACGGTTGAACAGAAGCCCTAACCTCAAAGTTAGTTAAGGTAGAAATATGTAGAAATCGTATTCCCTGTGATGCGACCCTGGTTTTTTAAAAAAGCACCGAAGTTTCGAACCGTAAGAGACGTCCCGTCTGAGCCGGAGACTTTCAGGACGAAGGAGCTTACGGGTTTGTCCCGGCTGCCCCGAGTTCTGAGTCCCGGTCCTGTCAGCTCCAACGCGAGCTCCAACTCCTAACCCTAAATCCGAAACCCTAAACTCTATACCCTAAACCCTAAACGGAGAAGGCAGTCCCAGACATCACCCTGCAGCTGAAGTCTTGTCGCGCACAAAAGAGAGCGAACTTGATCTGTGACACACACTTCGAAGAATCCCCGGATGCAGAAAGTCAGTTAATGCTTGAGAGTGCCCCGACAATGTTCTAGATTGACTCGTTGTTTGGTGTTGGCGGGCAATCTCAAAGAAGTGGTCGTGAGACCCACTGTTGGGGCCTTGAGGGATTGCTACTCTGAAAACTTCTCTTGTCAGTCTCGCCCCATTAACAGGCTCCTCCTGGTAAGGAATTCTGTCTGTTATGCAGGTGGAAAAGGGCCCACACACACAAAAAAAAAACCTATATATTTTCAGCCTAATGGACCCTGGTCAAGCCAAAACGATGGGCCGGGTGATGTGAAGCTGAATGAGGCCTCCAGCTGGCCCGCTGGATCCGTGGCGATTCAGGCATCACCACGACTTTTGTATAGCGTGTCATCGTGTTTCTTGGGTTGTATAGGTCATTGTCTAGGATCCTAGTGTTTTTGGTGCTCCGGTGGGTTAGGCAGGGAGGGTTCATCGGATCTCTTACCAGTCAGATCAGGTTTTGAGGTATCGCTTCCTCCTTCTCTGGACCCTGGATCCGGTGATGGAGGGCTGTTGGAACGAATCATGCCCACGTAGCAGATGACAAAGTGTGCGTAAAGTCTGCACGCGAGCCGGATGCTCGAGAGAGTGACCCGTGCGTGCTAAATCGTAGCTCCAGCAGCAGTTGCAGGCAGCCCTTAGACTAGCTCTTGGCACTCCCGCCAACAGTGATGCAGGCAGCTTGCCCTGGCATGCCACCAAAGATGAAGCGATCCAGCACGATACGTCCGCCGACTGCACAAGAGTGGGACTGCGGACCCTGAACTCTAAGCCAAAGTTTTACGTTCTCACGCTTTGACCAGCCATGTGAGGTTGGTGGTTTGTTAAATCGTAAGCAAGTCTGGAACAAGCATGCGCAAACGAGGCGTGAACTCCTGGCATGCACCTCCCGTTCCAAGCCCCTAAACTTCAGCTGCCAAGCGAGAGGCATCACAAAATAAGCAAACCTTGCAGCTCCAAATCGGCCCTCAAGGAAGATTCCCTGGCCCGCCGGCGAGATCCCGGAGGCCCTGCAGGTATACCGTGGCCGGCCAGGCCGATGGGATGGATTTCCCTTTGCCTTTGTAGCCCCAAAACCACGAACCCGAAACCTCGTGGGGGTTCAGGGTATAAGCTGTTTCTTGGGGTGTAAGGGCTCTAGTCTGGCATGTCATGGTGCACGAGGAAGACTTTGTGTGTTCGACACGTCAATGCGAGAACATCTATCTATCTGTCTAAAAAAGTCCAAAAGGAAAGACGGATAGAACGACAGAAAGAGTAATTGAGTGGGGACTCTGGAAAGGCTTCGAGCTCTCATAACCGGGCTCAGGGCACATGGTGAGCAAGGCTCGCCAAGCTGCCTAGATTTCGGGGGTCTGTGTACTTCAGATTCCCGAGACACTGTATGCCCCGAAACCAGCCAAGTCAAGTCCTCATGTGCTCACCTTCGCGACGCAATTCTCGTGGAATGTCGGGCTCTTTCATCCCCGGGATTCTCAGGTCGGAGCTTGCCTTTAATCTGCAAGGTTAGGTTTTGATCCGGGGGCTCCGCGCTGCCTTATGGGCTCTGGTCCGTGCAGTTGCGGTTTGCACCATTTGTCTCACATGTCAATGTCCCTTTCGAGCGGTTGACTCCTCTTTCTGACCGGCCCTAGTCCCCCGTGCTCGACCCGTTTCAGGTAATTTGCCCCTCTCTTGTGAAATGCTCTTCTGGTATCTTTCGAGCGGTTGTATCCCCTTTACTCAAAGCTTGTCATTTTCCAGCGGCTTGCTCCTACTTCTCAGATGCTCTAGCCCCTTTCCCTTCGAGCTGCTCGCTCCGTTTTCTTGAGTAGCCTTATCCCTTTTGAGCGCTGCTGTAGTCCATTTCGAGCAGTCTGCCCCTTGTTTCTTGGGCTCAGGGTTCCGAGATTCTCTTCACGGTCCAGGAAAAGAGTTGAGCTGAGGTTTCAATTTTTGAGAGGTTTGGGGGCTTTCGTTTTCGACGGAGTCCTGAGCCCGAAAACTCCCTGTGCCGAGCATTTCGTCCAAGGCCTCAAACCCAAAACTGTACTCGGTGCTCCAGCCCTCTCACAAGCCAAGAGCCTAAACTTGAGGACGAGGGCCCCAAAAAAACAAAACACCTTCAGGACAGCCCTTCTTCCTCAACCATGTGACCGGCCGCCAGCGATGCAGCTCGGGATCAACCGGGCCCCCTTGAAGGCTAAGGGTCCTAAGTCCTACACACCTAAAACCCCCAAGCCCCAAACCCTAAAGCCCTAAAGCCCTAAAGCCCCACAGCCCTAACGCCCTAAGACAGAGGTTCAGAATTCAATAAGCTCTGTGGGTGCGGGCGGTCGGGATTGAGTGCGAAAGGCAGCACAGAAAGTGGCTCACAGCAAGAACCTTCGAGCTTTTGCAACCGGTACAAGCGAGTGGCACGAGCACTTTCAAACCCTAAACCCTGAACAGCCTTCGATCTCTGTGATGCAGCTTTTCGTCCTGGCCAAGTGAGGAGCAAAAACCAATCTCAACTTCGGCTTTCAAGACTTCCGGCTTCGAAGTGCTCGTACTGTATATTGCGTGATTCGATTGATTAGCACGAATTTTGCCTGAAGCCATGGGGGTGTGCGGCTGCAAGTTCCTTTGGATTTCGAGCTCCCACCCTTGCAAGCCTTGAGCGCGGTCCTGAGGCAAGGATGCGTGCATGCGGTTGGGGATGGGCTGCTTGCAAGCAGGAAGTTAGAGCTTTGGGGCGCGTTCTCGACACTGTCAGCCTTGCCTGCCGTTCTTGGGACGGGCGCTGTCGATGATTGGCTCCAATCTCGTTTCAACTGTTGTGATTCTTCTCATGCTTGTTGTTGTTCGGTGTCTTGGTACCTGACGCTAGATATCAGGCCACACTCAGAGCTGAAGGCAGGAGGGTTGATCGGTGGTAAAGGTGGGAGGGTGACACTTCAAGATGAAAAAAGTCTTTGGGTTGGGGTCAAAAGGCCATGAGCAGAAAGCATGTGGCCCAAGAGCAAGTCCGAATCTGAGGTGTTGGCGCTCTTCTGGGCGTCTGGTTTATGTGCAAGTGCATGGACAGAAGAGATCTGTCATCACTGGGCTTCACGCTGGATAGCCCATTTTGCCAAGATGCGGCTGCCGGCCTAATCGTCGGTGTCACCATCGTCTCGTGCCTTGCCTTCAGGTCCGACGTCTTTCGTTCTAGCCGCGGAATCCTGTCGTTGGGGTCATCGTCACAATAAACATGCCCCAAACCATGTTCCGTAAGGAATCTTTGCATGGAATTGTCAAGAAGAGCCAGTTTCGCAGCGCTGGTACGCAGGTCGTTTGCATGGGATTTCGAGCATTTCCTGCCGGTGCTGAGCTGGCCTGAGCACAACCCGAGCTTAGGTTCATGTTTGCCGTCGAGCTTGTGGCAGGATGGGTGGTCTTCCTGCAGTGGTTCGAGAACTTGGCCGCACAGCATTTTGTCGAAGAGAAACTCTGTGTTACCAGAGCAGCTGCAAACGCCATAATGACAGAGGGTATTGAGGAATTCGTGAACCAAAGGCTTGAAGGGAACAGTCGCAGCATGGGTGACACCGCAATAGTCAGCGGGTAAAGTAGTAATAGACAAGCGCCGGGAGCCTAAGGAAGTCTTCGACAAGTCTGAAAATTTTGCCGTCTGCATTTTCTGGGACGTCCTCTTCCATTTGTGTCTTGGCTGGGAAGCAGAAAGCCTCAACCCCACAAGCCACAACCCCGTGACACGAACCCTAAACCTCCTCCCAAACTCCGAAACCGAAAGGCAACAAAACCCTCAAGCCTGGAAGGTAAGCATGGGCGCCGAAGCCTTGGAAAATACCCTCCGAGCTTTAAGCCCGAAGCCCCAGACCTTGACCTGAACTACGGAGATTGCTGGAGCTGCACCTTTCTGCATGTGACTAGCGAATGCATGTTCTTCGGTGTCACGCCAGCTTAAAGACTGTCGAGTTTCTTGTAGAGCTTGGTGAGCGCCTGAAAAGTGCCAGATGCAATCCACAAAGCGGGTTGCCGCAGCAGCGCAACAACAGTCGTGAAGGCTCACAACTTCGCTCGCAACGAAGGGGCGAAGTTCTGTACAGGGGTTGTGCGCAGAGTGACGTCAACTTGCGCTTTCAACAGTTTGTCGTCAACTTATGTACCCTGCATTGCAGGCTCGTCCGAGTCTGGCAGGAGACAAAACCACCGCTTCTGCCCCCAGGTGTAAAACCCCAGGGTTGAGGGTTCGGGTGGGCCCCTGGAGCGACAGGGAGATCGGCTCCGTGTGCAAAGCGGTCTTAGAGGTTTACGGCGGAGAGCTTACCTCTTTGAATCGTGGAAAGAAGAGCTATAAGTCCTACCGGTGCGCCACGAGCCTTTATGCTCCCGCACCCAGTCGGGGGCGGGCATTATGCGCATCACATGCACAAGCCCGAATTGTTGAAGCAGGCCGATCATGGTGTGCAGCACACCATGTTGCTCAACGAAGCTCTCCTTGGCAGTGGCTTTCTCTGGTTTGGGGTTTACACATCCTCCCCACAGAGCCCAACTTAACAGAGCGTGGGTTGGCCAATATGGGTCAGAAATGCATCCTCAGGAATGTTGCGGTGAATGAGGAGCTTCCTGTTCGCGGATGGCTTCTGCCTCTTCGGCGAATCAATTTTATGTATCCAGTATCTTATTCCCTAGTCGTTAGTCTGGTTTGTGTTGGGTCTTCCTGTGTTAGAAAATACGGTAGTGGAAGGCGTAAAGTCACATATGCAGATTCGACCAAAGGTCTTTCCAATGACAGCGAGTCATTGCATGCAGTCCTAAAGTTTTTCAAGAAAGCATATGTTCAGATAGCAGAAGCTTTCGCTGTCGGCATTGTCTTTATCAAGGTCCCCTTAGCTACCTCAGACTCTCATGAGTGCGGCCATGGAAAAGTGAAGGTCCTACGTGCCACCTGGAGTGTGTGATCTCTCAGGTGGTAGCGGAGCACTGGCTTTGCCACCGATACGATCGGGAGGCGACGGTGCGCACGACATCCGCTTTCTAGTGTGCCTGTGGAATGAGCGGTCCGGGGAAAGATGAGGAGCGGCCGAGGCTGGAGCGGTTCGACGGGAGCCAGCCGTCTACATACCGACGCTGGCGTCGAAAAGCCGAGCTAATGCTGCTTGCGCTTCCGAATACGTATACGAAAGACAGATGGGGAGCAAAGCTGCTGGAGTACGTGGGTGGTGAAGCAGAGGAGGTCTGCGAAGCACTGCCGTTGGACAAGATCACCAAGGACGGAGGCCACACGCTGATTCTGGAGGCCCTTGATGAACGCTATAAGGAGCTACAGAAGGAGGCCTTACACAATCACCTTCAAGAGTACTTCTACGGGTTACAGATCAAGCCTGGTGAAAGCTACCGAAACATGATTGTGAGGCTGGACTCAGCGTACCGGCGACTACAGGAACACACCGTGGAGTTGCCAACCGAGGTCCGTGGGTGGTTTGTTCTGAGAAAACTTCAGCTGGATGCCGCATCTGAAGCTATGCTGATGACACACACAAAAGGGTCACTCAAGCATCCCGACGTGATCAAGGCCATTCAGGCGATTTATCCGCAAGGTTCCGCAAAGTCAAGCAATACAAGGACAAAGGAGGTCTACGAGGCGACAGACGAGACTGACGAGAAGGACGGCGAGGAGCTCATCGAGGATGTGTTCCAGGCGGTGGCGGACCAAGTTCAGTCTTCCGAGGAGTATGACGACGAGGACGCCGTAGATGTTTTCGAGACCTACAAGGAAGTGCGGAAGAGGTTACAACAAAAGAAGTTGGGACGCGGATACAAGCCAGATGCCAGTCACCAGTGGAAGCTGAGTGGAACGGTCAAAGGCAAGCTGGAGATGCTAAAGAGCAAGACGAAGTGTCACCTGTGTCATGAACGTGGACACTGGAAACGTGAATGCCCGCGGCGAGGACAAGCTTCTGGCTCAGCGCGGCAGCAACGGCCCAGTGGTTCGAATGAAGCCATGGTGGCAGACGAGGACGGCGAGCACTACAAGAGCATCGAGGACGAGCACTTCCTGGACGTTGATGAGCTGGGGAGATTTGAAATCTTTCTTGCAGAAAAGGATGACGGTGTGGAAGTGATCTTAGCCGATCGCGAAGAGGCGGTCGATCAAGGAGGTGAAGTGAGAGGGGACTTTGAGCGTAGTTTGTCAGAGTTTTTGCAAAGCTCGGATTTTCGCAAGGACGAGCGTTCTCATGAGGCATACATGACTGAGTGCGCTGACCTTGCTGAGCATGGGGTTCCTGACACGGCTTGTAGGAGGACTTTAGTTGGTGAGTCTGTTTTGCAGCGCATGTCAGAGACTTTGACTCAGTTGGGGCTGAGAGTTCGATTCATTCGGGAGAATCATGAGTTTCGTTTTGGCAATTCCGGTACCTTGAGAACGAAGGTTTCAGCCCTGATCCCTGTGTGCTTAGGAGGCAAGCAGCTCGCGATAAGGGCGGCTGTTCTGCCAGGTACTGGTTCTGAGACGCCACTTCTTTTGTCTAAGGAACTTTTGCGTAAGTTGCAAGTTAAATTAGATATGGGGAATGATAAGATAGAGATTGGCCGCTACGGTGTGAGTGCAAAGCTTCGGGAAACAGCGAGAGGGCACTATGCGTTACCACTCTTCGAGGGCTTGGGAAAGAACAATAGCAAGAGGAATGTGCCAACGAACGTGGTTGTGAAGACGCATGACGTGAACACCGCCGAGTTTTCTGCCCAAGCAGAGCCTGGTAGGACCCACAAAGACAAGGAGTCGCCAGGCCAGCATGAGCTACACCGGTGCGACGGAAATGGACACCCCCATGGCAAGCTTTCCGCAGTCGATGCTGATTCAGGACCTGATGGCCGAGGTGACAGCAAATGCGACCACGGAGGGCCAGATGTCGGACATCGATGCGAAGATTCTCGACGAGGCTCCCGATCACAGCGACGACGACAGAGACGCCGTGGTGCCCGGAGTCGACGGGTATCTTGGGCAGAGGATCTTCAACGTGGGAAAGTTCCAGAAGCAGGGTGCGCTTATGACGTTCAAGCAGGCGTACGAGAACGACAAGAAGTACGTGGCGTGGGTGAGAAAATTCATCAAGGGACGGTCAGTGTCCCCAGACAAGACGAACCACCCGACCATGACGCAGTTCAGGCTCTACATCGCCATCCGGGACCAGGCAAAGTCGCAGCGCATCATGATGAACCCGAGAGCGGTGACGTCTCCACCGGGATCAAGCAGCCAAGCGCCGATGCTGATGCCAACGCGTCCAAAGGCGAAGGCAGGAGCCAAAGCAACGACGAGAGCAACGACGGCAACAGTGCGCCAGAGCCAAGGACCAGCAGGGCCTCAGGTACCACTGACAACGTGGGAGGATCAATGGATCGTGGCCCAGGATCCAGAGGCGGAGGAGACGTCGCAAGAGCGACGACGGCGACTTCTACGCCAACGCATCGAGGAGATGACATGGCAGCTCGAGGAGCTCGAGGAGACAGCGGACTTGTGAGTCAGCCAGAGGATGCAGAAGGCTTTGTGTCATGTATGAGTAGCACTGAGAAGAAGCTGTGTAGGCGTGGACTAGAAGCCTGCTCCCGCAAGCCAGTTGAGTTGTATGATGTTGGTAGTACGGTCGATGTGTTGGTTTTGGAGAAAGGATGCGGTGAGGAGGTTCTCACGGCAGTAGGACTCAGTGTGGAGTCGATCTTCGATCGGTTGGAGCCGGATCAGGTGAGAAGCCAAGGCGCTGTTGCCCAGGCGTTAGAAAGGATTCGGCAGTGCAGACCTAAGCTGTTGCTGATGCGTCCGCCTGATCACATGACACGAACTAGAGGCAGTCATCATATGGTCAGGACATTTCATGCGAGGTATCGTGCCGCTTATACGCGTTTGGTCACAGCATGTTGTGCCGAGCAGTGCTGTGAGGGGAGACTGTTTTGCATTGAAGATGTCAACGAGTGCATGAGCGAGAGAGTGAAGCAGTGGAAGAAGCAACGGAATGATGAGAGTACTCGGTGTGTGCAGAGAGTGGAGAGCGAGAGCTGTTGGAGGTTGTACACGAACAGTCGACATGTGGAAGAGCAGTCCAGAAAGACTTGGGTGAACGTTCGTGAGTTGCAGGACCCACGATGTTTCATGAAGGATGTTGCTGCTGGGGTGATGAGAGCCAAACATCATGTCGATGAGGTGCATGCTTCGCATTGCGTGCTGTCTGTGGAGGATCTTCGTGGTGATGCTGCGCTGGATGATCGTCGGGTGATGACTATTCTGAGAAGATGTCATGAGAATCTTGGTCATCCTTCGCCGGCTCGGTTGAACATGCTTCTCAAAGCTGCACATGCGAGTGAGAGAGTGCTCAAGTTGGCGAGAGGGCTTGAGTGTGAGACTTGTGCTGAGCTGTCAAAGCCCAAGGCTCATCATGTCACCAAACTTAGGAAGGCTACGGAGTTCAATCAACAGGTCTGCGTTGACACGTTTGAACAGGAGGTTCGTGACATGAAGGTGCATTTCCTGAACATAGTTGATGAAGCTACTGGTTACCAGATGTGCGTGCCCTTGTGGAAAGGTATGCAGGCCAAACATGTCAGGAATGCGTATAGGAAAAACTGGAAACGATGGGCAGGGGCGCCAATTAGGTTGTTCAGTGACGGGGGAAAAGAGTTTGAGGGGGAGTTCGAACACGGGCTGACTTTGGATGGCACGTTTGGGGACACGTCTGCCGCGTATTCACCTTGGCAAAACGGGTTGGTGGAAAAGTGAGGGGATGTGTGGAAAACAGCTTACTCAAAGGCCCAAGTCGAAACGAGACCCCGAAACAAACAAGAGGTTCAAGAACTTGTCGACCAAGTGAACAATGCTGTGAACAGTATGACACGAAAGGATGGATACGCGCCAAATCAGCATGTGTTCGGAAGAGATGTGCGAGTTCCAGGGTTGATAAGTTCAGACATGGATCCAGTGATTAACTCGTCGCTGGTGCAAGGAGAGTCCATCTTTGAAAGGAGAGTGGCTTTCCGTACTGCAGCAAGAAAGGCGTTCCTCGAGGCAGACAATGACATGCGAATCAGGAAGGCCATGGAGCATCGAAGCCGTCCAGAGCGTGGACCCTTTGAAGTAGGCCAGCTTGTCTTTCTGTGGCGTAAGAATCGTTTTGACAATCGCGCACATTGGCACGGACCAGCAGTGGTGATAGGCAAAGCCGGAACTTCGAAGATTTGGGTCGCCAAGGGAACTAAGGTGTATCGTTGTTGTCCAGAGCAGTTGCGAAGCCTATCTCCTGATCAGGAGGCCATGGTCAAGCTGCTTCCAGCAGACATGGTCCATATAAGAGGTCAGGTGAGTGCAAAGGGGGCTGGCAACTTTCATGATCTGAGCATGCTGGAGCGTCCTCCAGACGCAGAGCGTGAAGGTGACGTTGTTACAGAGCAAGGTGGTAGTGTGAACAATGGTGCCACAGGCGTTGGACCAATTCCGTTGGAGCTGAGTGCGCCAATGGACACTGAGACGCAAGGACCAAGCTTGAATCTTCCGAGTCGTGTTGAGGAGAATGTCGCAGAAGGTCAGGTATCGCAAGAGTTAAGTAGAGCGGAGGAGTCTCCCTCAAAAAGGGCCAGAATGATGCCTGGTGCGACCCCTCTAGTCAACATGTTGCGGTCGGATCCGGATTTGCTTGATCGTGGACGCGAACGAGCGATGGCGTCAACAGGTCCTCCTAGTCAAGCGAATGCTTCAGAGATTCCAGTTCCTGGAATCAACGAGAGCGATGATGACCTGGAAGTGTTGACAGCAGAGTCGGATCGTTGGCTTGTGATACACGGTCGGTCGAAGCTTGTGCGTGTCGTTGGTGTTGAGAGAAAAGGTGTTGTGGTGCCAGTCGAGGATACATTGCCAGTATGCGTGGATGATCTTGAGGACGAGTGTGTCTTGATTGGTTTTGACCGATTGGGAAACAAAGTCTTCAAGGAGTACAACTGGAGGAAACCAGAGACTCATGACCTGATTGTGCGAGGTGGGTTCTGGACAGGACGAGTTGAGTTTTGCTTGAAGGATGGATGGAAGGACAAAGTGGTTAAGGAACAGGAGTGCTACGAGGTGAACATCAAGAAAGGCAGGAAGGAGCTAAATGATCACGAGGTACCACCTGAACGACGCAATGGTCTTGCAAAGGCGAAGGTCAAAGAATGGGCAAAGTTGGTTGACAGTGGAGCCATTAAAGTTCACACGGGCAATGCTGCAAAACGCATCAAGGAGAATCTTGAACGAGGCAGATTGTTGAAATCTCGCTTCGTCATTACGGAAGCGGATAAAGGCAGTAACCCCGCAACTCAGGACTTAAAGGCTCGCTGGTGTGTGCGTGGCTATCTTGATCCAGACCTGTTGCAGCTTGACACTGCAGCGCCTACATTGTCTAGCGAAGGTTTTGCCATAGCTATGCAGTTGCTGGCGTCGAGGAAGTGGAAGCTAAACATAGCAGATGTTGAAGGTGCATTCTTGCGTGGTGATGCACTTGACCCACAACGAGGACGCATCTTCATTGACATGCCGCCTGGAGGAGTTCCTGGAGTACAAGAAGGCAGTGTGATAGAAGCTGTAAAAAACGATTTATGGCTTAGCTGATGCTCCAAAGGCGTGGTGGCAGTGCTTTTCCAAGAAGTTGTGTTCACTGGGCATGCGTGTGTCGAAGTTTGATCCTTGTGTCTTCTACTACTACTCAAACAAGCAGATTGCAGGAGTCATCGCTCTACATGTAGATGATCTATGTACGGGAGGCAACGAGGACTTCCAGAAGAACGTCTTACAACCACTAAGGTCCATGTTTCCTTTCAAGCACTGGAAGGTCGGTGCTGGCGAGTTTCTTGGAAAGCAGCTTGAGCAGAAGCCGGATGGTAGCATTGTCATAAGCCAGGGTGAGTATGCTCGTCAGGTCAAAGGCATTGACATGTGCAGAGAACGAAGAAGAGAGAAGAGCGAACCGGTGACAGAAGACGAGAGACGGCAGTTGCGTGGTGTGCTGGGGGGAATCAACTGGCTTGTTACCAGTAGTCGTCCGGACCTTGCTGCTTGGTGCTCGTTGATGCAACAGCGAGTTAGCGAGGCGACTGTCAATGATCTTATTGAGACTAACAAGCTGGTGAGTTTGTGTCATGACAATAGTCAAGCACATGTGTGGATCCGCAGCATTCCTTTGCAAGATGTGCAGTTCGCAATGCTGTCTGATGCTTCCTGGGCTAATGCACAAGGTTGTTGCAGTCAAGCTGGCTACCTGATCGCTGCGTGTGACAAGCAGCTACCACAAGGTTCTTGGGGAGTCTTTTCAGTGTTGCGCTGGAGAAGTTACAAACAAGATAGGCAGACGCACTCAACGTTGGGTGCAGAACTGCTGGCGCTATCACGTGGACTCTCTGAAGCTCGATGGATGCGCTCAATGTGGTGTGAAGCAGTAAATCATGGCTATGAACTCAGACAAGATCGGACATGGAGCTGCCGAGTTCCGATCACAGCAGTGATCGACTGCAAGCCTGTGTTTGATCACGTTGAGGGGCCAATGATCTCCGTGAAGGACAAGCGTGTGGCCATCGAAATGATGCTGGTGAAGGAGGACATTGCGGCTTACAACATATCCCTGCGATGGATGGCGACGAAACAGATGATAGTTGACGTACTCACTAAACGTGGCGCGCCAATGGTTCTCTTCCGTAAGGTTCTTCAAAGGGGTGAGTTCGTGCTGACTGAAGATGAAGAAGTGGCTAGAATCACAGCTGGCAGAAGGAAGCTATCTTGAACATGTTATTCCCGGGACGTGCAGATTCGACCAAAGGTCTTTCCAATGACAGCGAGTCATTGCATGCAGTCCTAAAGTTTTTCAAGAAAGCATATGTTCAGATAGCAGAAGCTTTCGCTGTCGGCATTGTCTTTATCAAGGTCCCCTTAGCTACCTCAGACTCTCATGAGTGCGGCCATGGAAAAGTGAAGGTCCTACGTGCCACCTGGAGTGTGTGATCTCTCAACATAGCTATCTACACTGTATATGTATACCCTAAGCCTGTAGGCCGTAACTCGTTGTACCGCTCTTTGTGCCGGATCTTGGGCCCGGAGTTCTGAAGGGGTTTGGAGGGCTTCAAGCGTAATGATTTTGGAGGTACTGCTCCGGGGGCCTAGGGGATGTCATATCGAGCGCTGCCCCAAACGAAGCGAAAAGAGCCCTGTGAGTCGTCCGTTCTCAGGATCATAGATCTTGAAATTGGCGCTGTTGACTTTAGGGTCCTCGGAGTCTTATATGGGGCTCCATGATTTTGGACAGGGACTTCGGATTGAGACAACCAGGTCCTTCAGACTTGGGCTTCCGAGCCGTCGCTTCGACAGGCTTTCTCGAGTTTTTCGAAAATCTTCCCGTTACTTGTTCACAGTATCTAACAGTATCTATCTATCTACCTACCAATCGGTCTCTCTGTCCAGCTATCTACCACCTCTATCTACCTGTTTATCTATCCATTTGTCTGTCTGTCTGTTCATCTGTTATTTATTTAGCTGTCTGTCTACATATCTACCTATCCATCTATCTATCAATCTGCCTGTATCAGTCTCTCTCTCTCTCTCTGTGTCTGTCTTTCTGGCTGTCTATCTAACAATCGATCTATCCATTCTACCTTGTACTATATGTTGTGTTTTCATTTATGTGCATACATGTATATATGTATATATGTAGGGAGCAAGCAAACAAAGCATCAAGCAAACAAGCAAGCAAGCAAACAAATGAACCAACTAACTATCTAGCTGACTAAACTAAACTAAACTTCACTAAACTCAGCTTAACTAAACAACTAACTAGTTACCCACCTAACTAACTTGAACTGAATGCGGACGGACTGGCTGACTGGCTGAATCACTCACTCACTCACTCGCTCACGCGCTCACTCACTCACTAGCTGACCAACTAGCTAACTAACTAACTAGCTAACTAACCAACCAACCAGCCAACCACCAACCAACCAACCAACCAACCAACCAACCAACCAACCAACCAACCAACCAACCAACCCACCCACCCACCCACCCACCCACCCACCCACCCACCCACCCGCCAACCAACCA